CTCAGGGTTCCCTCTGATTGGCTGTCATTGGGTCACACGCCCCACCTTTCATCCAATCCTTTAGTCAGGCTGGATCACAGAGGCGAAATAAGTCCCACCCAAGGTACAGAGACTGATATTGGCAGAGAGAGAGAGATTTCCCCAGGGAAGCTGGGGTGCGTTTTCCAGAAGACAACACATGTTCACCATCTGGTAGTTCCTGCCTCTCTGTTAACCAGGCTTAAGGAGAGGCTGTCATCAGGAATAATAATAATAATTAATAATAATAACAGCTAGCTCATATTGAGCACTCACAATGTGCCAGGTATTACACTAAATGCTTTATAGCCATTATCATATTCATGCCTCACATTATCATAATTACTATTCATATTTATTCCTTATCATCATCTAACTTCACCAATGGGCAAACTGATGCTTAGAGTATCTAAGAAAGTGGCCCAAGTTCACACAGATCATCCTTTTCCCAATCCGGTGTTCTTAGCTTCTCTGGGAACTGCACTTAGAGCTGGTCTCTCAGAATTGCCGGCTTCCTCCAAAGAGGAAGCTCCGAGCCTTCTAGAGGGCAGCCTTGCAGAGGGTCCCTGGTGCGGGACGGCAGATAGCATCCTCAGGCTCCCTTAGAGTCACTCATGATTCTCAGAGGGCTCGTCCCGGAGCAGCGCCATGGACCTCAGGCCCCGGATACTGAGAGGTTTGACAACAAGCGAGTCAGATCCAAGGATCGTTGTGAGTTTAAGAGCTCGGATTCCTTGGTGCCCTGGCCCTCCCGCCCACCAGGAGTGGTGGGAAAAGAATGTGCCATGGAGGGATTGTGTTAGGGTTGACCTTCTGTTCTGCCACTAACCAGTGGTAGGCATCCTCGAAGAAACACCATTAATCGCTCTAAGCCTCACTTTCTGAATCCATAAAATGATCGTAGTATAATAACATCTTCCTCAGAGGGCTGGGCGGATTACATTACATGAGAAATAATGCCTGGTGGTCTCCCCACCGGTGTCGCATGATGCTTGCTCCCTCTGCATCATCCCCCTTCCCACCCCAGAGATTTAGCAAGGGGCAGAGCAAGGAGAGAAAGGAAGGCACCTTCCACGTCTCCCGGCCAGCCTGCTGGGCTCTCCTCTCTTCCTCCTGGGTTTGAACCCCAGCTCAGTTGTCCTCTTACTAGCTTTGTGACCTTGGGAGGGTCCCCGCCACTCCCCTCCGCCGGAGAACACCTCCCTCATGAAAACCCCCTCTGCAAATTTGCCTGGCACACCGGTTGTTTGTTCTCTGAGTCTGAAATGGTGAAAGGGACAGAGTTGGGTGGTTTAGGCTGCTTTGGGCAGGGCCTGAGCTGTCTGGTCAGCAGAGGGGCCCTCTCAACTCCACTTCCCATCTCCTGAATAATTCATGACAAACAAAATGGCTGGCCCAGACTCTGGCCCTCCCTCCTCCCGGCTGGGGAAGGGAGAAAAGTTTCTAATTACAGGTCAGCCGCCTGGCTCCCCGGGCCCCTGGGCGCTGCACACAGGGGGTATTTATGGGAAGAGAGGGAGGGGAGGGGCTCGGTCCCAGCCCCTTTCCAGAAGGAACTCAACTCCTTTTGAAATTGCAGCCTGGGCCTGCTAAGGCGCAGGGATAGACTGAGGGAAAAAAAAAAACACAACAACTTAGAATCAGCAGGAAGAGAAAAGCCTGCTGAGGGGTCAGAGCGATGTGTCCAGAAAAATGGCAGGCAAACTGGGCTTCAGAAGCAGGACATCCTCGGGGCACCTGGGTGGTTCAGTTGGTTTAGCATCTGACTCTTGATTTAAGTTCAGGTCATGATCTCATGGTTCAAAAGATCGAGTCCCATGTCACGCTCCACGCTGACAGTGAGGAACCTGCTTGCGATTCTCTCTCTCCCTCTCTCTTTGCCCCTCCCCCGCTCTCTCTCTCTTTCAAAATAAACACTAAAAAAAAAAAAAAAAAAGAGGACATCCTGACTCCAAAACCACAGAGCTGCCTTCCAGCTTCCTTACCTGTAAAATGGGGAGAAACACAGAACCTACCTTACAAAATGGTTGATGAGTTACACAAGTCAATACACATGAGGTGCTTAGAATACTGCCTGGCACATAAACCCCAAAATATATAATTGTAGTATGGTTGTTCTTTTCTACATTATGCTGCCTCCAAGGGGAGGTCAGCAAAGGATGAGAATGAGAGAAAGAGAAGGTTCAGGGAGATTGTGAGAGAAATGAAAAATTACTTGTTAGGGGGTTTAACATAGTGCTTTAGGATAAGGACCCCATATATTTCCAATTAACTAAAAAGAATGAGGACCCCAGGACGAGGCTGCCTGTGTTTGGTCCCAACTCTGGCTCTTTATGGCTGTGTGATCTTGGGCAAGTTACCATACCTCTCTGAGCCTCTGGATTCACCATCTGTGATAAACGGTAACTATTGCCATTGGTGGAGAGCAGTGAACAAAATGGATAAAGTCCCAGTCCTCGGGGGGTTTACAGCTAGAAAGGGATGCTAATCAAAAGGACTTATTGAATGCCTACTGTGTGCAGATCTCGTGCCTACCACGAGAACTCGCAGTACACCAGGCAAGTCAGACTGATCTAGAACATATCGCTGTGTACAGGTCCTGTGCACTCTGCAGACACTCTCTCCACTCAACTTCACAGCATTCAACCTCGTTTTATACACGAAGAAGCTGAAGCTCAAAGGCGTCAAGAACAGAGAAGGGATTTGAAACTACAAAGGGGGGGAATCATTCAACAGCATAGCTGAATCTCCAAACTGCATGTTAAGGGATAAAAGCCAGACACGAAGAGTACACATTGTATGATTTCATTTACATGAAATTCTAGAAAAATGCAAACTAACCTATAGTGACAGAAAGCAGATCAGTGGTTGCCTGGGAACAGGGGTCGGGGGGGAGTGGTGGTGTGGGAGGGCAGGCATTGACTGCAAAGGACACCCGGGAACTTTTTGGGGAGATGAAAATGTTTTACATTTGACAGTAGTAGTAGTTACATGGGTGTAATCATTTGTCAGTGCTCACTGAACTGGATACTTAAAATGGGTGCATTTTATGCATGTAAATTCTATCTCAATGAGTCTGATTTTTCAAAAGAAGAGGGGAAAACTACACGAGACTTCAGAGCCCTGCAACCCTTCTTACTTACATTATTTGAGTTTCTGATTTCAAGTTCATTTGTGGGCAGAAACTGTATCAGAGTCAAGGACTAGCAAAATGCTTCTCAAACCCACTAGTTCAGATCGACAATTGTACCTTGGGTACCTTCCTTGTGGTGGGTGCTAAGGTCACAGAGCAAGCAGCCCAGTGGAGACAACAGAAGAAAATGAGCAAATAGGCCCAATACAGTGCAATATATTTTCTGATGGGGCAAGTTAGACATCAAGGGTGTGACTGCTGGGCCGTAAAAATGGATACTGCAACCAAGCCTGGGACTTGGGGTGGTGAGGATCCCAGGCTCTGGAATCTAATGCCTGGGTTCAAATCCCCACTCTGCTTCTTGGGCTAGCTGTGTGACCTTGGGTGACCACCTTCACATACCCCGCTTCAGTCACCAGCTCTGGAAAATAGGGAGCAAAGGAGCTCCAGCCTGAAGGGCTATATAAGAATGAGGAGACATCTCCTGCTTGACACAGCGTGCACAGTAAATGTCCAATAATTGTTAGCTGTTCCTATCGTGAAGAGTAAGGAGCTGGAAGGCACAGAGATGCGTGGCCGGGGGTGGGGGGTGGGGGGTGGGGTGACTCTCTACCCAATCTGGGGATGGGAGAGGGGCCAGGATGCTTTCCCAGAGAGGTGATGCTTGAGGGGGAGTTGGCCATTTTCAGTGGTCATAGGGGCAGCAGAGAGTGGGAACCTCTTGGAGCAAATGCTCAATAGATATTTGCTCAATAAACAAAAAATAAAATAAAATAAAGACTGCAAGGCTTGCCTGTAACCAGGGGGATACAAAAGCCTGCCAGGGCAGACTGGGGGGGTCCTCAGGAAGCCAGGGCTGGGTGGCTGGTCCCACCGGCAGGCTGCAGACTTTTCTGGAATACAGGACCCTCCTAGGCCTGGCCCAACACCACCCTAGGCCCTGCCCTGTGCTCCGGAAGCGATGTGGACTACGCCGGACCTCGGACTTGGGGCCCGCAGGGGAGGACGCGGTGGGGTGGGCTGGCGGCGCGGGGGTCCTCCTGCGCCTTCTCCCCCTAAGGAGAATGGCCAAGTCCCTGCGAGGCGCCTCCCGCGCGCCCCCGTTGTCCGAGCCACAAAGGGCCCGGATCAATGGAAGGCGGGAGCGGCCGAGGGGCCTCCTCTTTGTGCGGCTGTCTCAGGCCTGTTTGCACCGCCGTCTCCGCGCCCCCATTGATCAGGCATGTGGAAAGATTCCGCCTCCCGGGCTCCCTTTGTGGCCGCGTTGCCAGGCTGCGCCCGGCGTGACTGCACCGCGCGGGGCGCTCCCGCCTGCGGTGGGCACCGGGCTGCGAGACGGGGCGGGGTCCCCGAGAGGGCAGGCTTGCCAGATTTAGCAAATAAAAACACACAGGACGCCCGGATTAAATTCTCATTTCTGATAAACAACGAGTCAAGGTCAAACAAACAAATAAATACATGTTCTAGTGTAAGTACGTCCCAAATATCGCATGGGACATACTTATACTAAAAAAAAAAAAGGTACTTGTTTATTTGTCTGAAATTCAAATTTCACTAGGCGTCTCGTATGCTATGTGGCACCTGTGAGGGGGGAAACCGAGTAACTGCGCTGCCCAGAACGTACCCGGATACCTCTGCCACCTTGAGTCATTGGCATTTGTTTTGTTTGCTTTTGCTTCTTGTCCATTATCATGGAACTCCTGACTACTACTTAGAATTTCCCCTTAATGAATTAATTTCTTTTTAACTTAAACGATGTAACTGATGCATAGGTCACATACATTAATTTGAACCAATGTTAAGGATGCCGCCAGGTGCACTTTTCCCTATACAGACACCCAAGTGACTGCACCCAGACCAGGATATAATGAATTCCCATCACCCGAGGAGGTTCCTTCGGATTTGCTTCCTGTCAAGACCGTCCCCAGTTGGTAGCCACTATTCTGACTTCCCTCGCCATAGATTGGTTTTAGTTGTTCTTGAACTTCATGTAAACGGAGGCAAAAAGTGTGTACTCTCTTGAGTCTGGCTGCTTTCACTCAACGTGCTTGTGAGGTTGGTCCACAATCTTGGATAAGCAGCTTGTTCCCTCTCACTGCTGGCTGAGGAGTATCCCATTGCATGGCTGCACCCCGGTTTGATCGTCCGTGCTCTCACTGATGGATGTCTCAGCTGTTTCCAGGTTTTGGCTCCTATGAATAAAAGCTGCTATGATCAGACTTGTACTAGTCATTGTACGGATTTAAATATATTTAACCTAAGCAATACTATGTGTGAATTCCTAGGCTTGCAATGCTGGTTTTTATTTTTTCCCTCGGTACATTCAATATATTACGATTCCTCATATTTATGTGAGCATTTTTATACCAACCAAGCTCACCTCCTGCACCATCAATGGCCACATGCCAAAGAGCAGAATAAAGGTTAAGAGAACAGGTCGGCTCAGGGTGGATCCTGGGCAAGTGAGTTAGCTCCTTGGAGCCTTGGTTTCTTCATCTGTGAAATGGGGGTGATAATGCTAATTACCTCGCAGGACGGTTGAAAAGCAAACTGGGCAAATGCCGTATAAAAGGGCCAAATGCAGGGCTGGCATATAGTGGATGCTCTACATCAGAGCCTCTATCAAGCTCCGGATTGATGCCTGCCCTCATTTCATCTTATTTCATTCCATTGAGGCAGATACTATTATTATCAACCTATTTTACAGTTGAAGAAACCAAGGCTCTGGGAGACAAAGTCACTTGCTCATGTTGGCATAGTTAGCGAGCGACAAAGCCACCACCCAGTGTGATTTCCATAGCTGGGAAGGCAAGAAGGATCCAGGAAGGATGCGGCTCAGTGCCTGGAAAAGGGAGCAGGCTCTAAGGACAGGCTGGGTACCTTCTTCTTCCTGCCTCTGTGTCTTCCAACAGCGCCCAAACCGAAGGCAAGCAGGTGGCTGTGGGACCCGGTTTCTCTTTGGAGAACGGAGAGAAGCTGGGCTGGACATTTCTAGGAGAGGCCGAGCCTCCCAGCCACTGGCAGCGGGGAGGACAGGCAGGGCGAGTCTGACGGGGTGGGGTGAGGGGGGGGCGGGCAGAGGAAGCAGGAAGCAGGAGGAGAAGCCCAGCCCTCTCGCAGAACTGCAGCCACAGCCGCTGGGCAGAGCCCGACATCAGCTACCTGCCTTCTGAAGGGCACGGGAACTGCTGATCTCAGGCGATTAGCATAACAATCCCCAATCCAGCGTCCTCGGGGCCCAAAGCTGGGTCTGCACAATCCCATTTCAAGCCAGCTCTTTCTTTAGCTGGCTAATTATGGGGGGCGGGGGGTGGGGTGGGACATGATCTTCTTAAAGGGGCCCCTACACCCAGGATCCAGGCTGGGATTAGCCGCAGGGAAGGGTCCCAACAACACTTGAGCTCTGGCAGAGCGTGGGTGCCACTACCCTGCACCATAGGGGAAAAGACTGTCCTCACTGGAGATTTCAAAGGGCTTCCTGTTTAAACCCTTCTTGGCCCCATTAGTGCACGACTGTAAGATATCTTCTGTTCACAGCTGTATCCTGGTGCTTGGCACAGAGTAGGTGCTCTAATAAGTCACAAGCACAGAGCCTGTGGGTTCAGAAACTCAACCTACTGATCTAATGAGGCCCCGTGCTGGGTACTAATGGAGGCCACTGAGAGAGAGCTTCCTGTTTGCAGGTCCCTGAGGGTGTTCCTTCTGCCCATTCCCACCCTCAGGGTCTTGAACCCCTCCTTGCGCCTCCAGCCTCCAGGCAACAGAAGTCAAAGAAGGCACAGAGGTTAGAATGGGCGGAGCACAGAGACAGCACTGGGTTTGAATCCCAACTCTGCTACTTACCCCTGTGTAACCTTAGGCAAATCTCTTAACCTCTGAGGCTCGGTTTTCTCATCCATGAAATGGGAACTATCAAAATGTGCCTGAAACATTGTTTATAAACATTCACTAAAATACCATATGGGAGTGCCTGGCACGTGGTTGGGGCTCCGAAAATGGGAGTCCTTTCTCTGCCTTCCATAGAAACATCTACTGTGGGGACACCTGGGTGGCTCAGTCCATCAAATGTCGGACTGTTGATTTCAGCTTAGGTGACGATCTCACGGTTCACGGTATCCAGCCCCGCATCTGGTTCTGCACTGACAGTCGGGAGCCTGCTTGAGAGTCTCTCTCTTTCTTCCTCTCTTTCTGCCCCTCCCCTACTCTCTCTCTCTCTCACACACAAAATAAATAAATTAACATTAAAAAAAAAGAGAAATGCTTACTGTCAATGTAGCTATTGTTTATCAGGTACCCATTATATACCAATCTGTGTCCAGTGCCTAAACTCTCTCTTCATCCCTTGAAACACCTCTGTGGGATGGGTTCTACACTATTTGAAAAAGAGGAAAATGAAGTCAGAGAGGCAAAGGGATTTGGCCAAGGCCACCCAGCTAGAAAGTTTCAAAAGGAGGCAGGAGCCCAGCTGACCCTAAAGACAATGGCTCTGGAGGCCGGGAAGTGTTGGTAGTTATTGCGGCCACCACCCCCTCCCCGCTGCACAGGCCAGCCAGTCTCAGGTCTCCGGATTGTGTGCTGTGTGTTAGGCTTTGTGCTGAGAGCTGAGGATAGAGCTGAGTGGAAGACGGACAAATGTGGTCATGCTGCTCTCCTGGAGTTGGGATCTGACAACAATCCAGTAATTTCTGTGAGTGATAAGGGCCTTGAAGACAGTAAAATGAGGTGATGGGTAGAGTCCTGGGGGCCTGAGAAGTCTTCTCTTGAGGGAGTGTTACTAGAACTTTAGGATAGCTCTGGGAAGATGGGAGGGGGACAGGAGAGCGTACCAGAAGAGCAAGTGCAAAGACCCTGGGGCAGAGTGGGGGCTTGAAGTATCTGAGGAACCAAAAGGCAGCCCTGTGAGAGAGGGTTAGAGTGGAGTGGAAGGAAATTGGGGACAGAGGAGGGGCCCTAACCAGACAGGGCTTTATGGGACTTGGGTAAGAAATATGAATTCCGTTCTTTCCTCCGTTCCTCTGCCCCTTCCTCCCCTTTCTTCCCTTCCTTGTCTTCCCTTCCCTCCAGTGCCTACTATTTTCCAGGCACAGGGCCAGGGGCTGAGGGCCTGACAGTTTCTCCACCTTCTCCTTCTCTTCTATCTCCCCTCCTCTCCCTTCCCCCTCCTCTTCTGAACAGCTGCCCCACCCCCATCACCGGACCAGCTCTCTCCCCCTCCACCGCATCCCATCCCCTCCCCCTGACAATGAGAACGAACCCTGAGCCCAGCTCTCCATAGTATCGTCCCTTTAAGGAATCCCTAAATCCGGACACCCCTCTCCTCCCCCACCTGAGAACCAATTAGGGCTCCCGAATTCGAGTGGAGGCTTTTGTGTGTCACGTGTTTAGGGAACAAAGCCCTCTCCGGCAGGAATAAAAGCTTCTATTCAGGAGCCAGTTTGTTCTCATTCTAATCGTTTCCACTTGAGCCTAGCCTCCTTCCCGGGTTCCCAGGGCCGCCCGGCTCGGGCCTCACCTTCCCGCCTCAGCACCCCGCATGCGGGCCCTACCCGGAGGCAGGTGGCCACAGACCCAGGGCTCGGCCCATCTTTTCTTCCTGAAAGATCGTATGATGCCAGCCAGCTCTGAGTTGGGCCTGGTGCTCGGTGCTTCACATGTTTCTTCCTGAGGACTGACACTCTCCTCAATGCCGCAGAGGAAAGTGAGGTGCAGGGGAGCTAGAGAGCTTGCCTGAGGTCACAGAGCTAGTAAAAGGGGGAGTCTAGACTCCCAGTATTATGCTTCGGGACCCTCAGCTGATCCTAGAGTTGCAGAGTGAGGGAGAAGAGAGCTGTCATTTTTACAAAGCCTCTGGGGCCAGGCACCTGCTGAACATTAGTGACTCCTCACAATGCCATGTGAAGAAGCAACAATGGAGGTCAAAGTCACAGAGGAGTCTGTAGCAGGAGGGGAGCTGGAATTCAGGACTCTGAGGATGGAGAGATGGGGAGGGTATGGGACTTTCATACAATGGAGCCATTAGGAAAAATGTACTGAGGGGCGCCTGGCTGGCTTAGTCAGACAGTGTCTGACTTCCACTTGGGTCATGATCTCAGCAGTTCATGGGCTGGAGCCCCGAGTCGATGGGCACTGCTCTGACAGCTCAGAGCCTGCTTGGGATTCTCTCTCCTCCCCTCTCTGCTTCTCCTCTGCACTCTTTCTCTCTCTCTCTTAAAATAAATAAATAAACTTTAAAAATAAAATAAAATAGGGGTGTCTGGGTGGCTCATTTGGTTAAGCTTCCAACTTAAGCTCAAGTCATGATCTCGCAGGTCGTGGGTTCGAGCACCGCATCGGGCTCTGTGCTGACAGCTCAGAGCCTGGAGCCTGTTTCAGATTCTGTGTCTCCCTCTGTCTCTGTCCCTCCCCTGTTCATGCTGTCTCTCTCTCTCTCAGAAATAAACATTTAAAATTTTTTTAAAAAATGTATTGATATGGAATGGTCATTGATATATTGCCAAGAGGAAAAAGGCAGTATGCTGAGCATAACACAATCCCATTTGGGTAAAAGACAAAGGAAAAATCTGCACATAAACACACACATATGGCACATTTCTATATGTATACAGAAAACATTTGAAGAAGAATATGCACGAAATTGTAGTATCTGTGTTCCTTACCTTTGGGGAATAGAAATGGGAAGTGGGACAGAGGTCACTTAGTACCATTCTGTGCTGTTTGAAAAATACATATATACTTTTAATCATGATCGTGTATTTCTTTCAAGATCATTTTTGTTTTATTGAGGTTACCTTAAGCCCTTTAAAGTATAGGATTCAGTTGCATTTAGTATACTTACAATGTTGCACAATCCTCACTCCTATCTAGTTTCAAAACATTTCATCACCCCGAAGTCAAAGCCCATGTCCCAGTAAGTAGCCACCGTGCCCCCCCCCCCCCCCGTTTTCTCCCTCCCCCAGCCTCTGACAACCACTGTGTTCTGTCTCTAGGGATTTACCTATTCTGGATATTTCATATAAATGGGATCATAAAATATGCGACCTTTTATGTCTGGCTTTTTTCTTTTTTTTAAAATGTTTATTTTTGAAGGAGGAGAGACAGAGCGTGAGCAGGGGAGGGGCAGAGAGAGAGGGAGACAGAATCTGAAGCAGGCTCCAGGCTCTGAGCTGTCAGCACAGAGCCTGATGCGGGGCTTGAACCCAAGAGCCGAGAGATCATGACCTGAGCTGAAGTCAGATGCCTAACCGACTGAGCCACCCAGGCTCCCCTGTTTTTTTTTGTTTTTTTTTTTTTAATTAGAATAATGTTTTTGAGGTTCAAGCCTGTTGTAGCAAGTGTCAATATTTTATTCCCTTTTATGACTGAATTATATTCCATTGTATGGTATGCCCCATTTTCTTTATCCATTCATTCCTCAGTTGAAGGACACTGGGTTGTTTCCATCTTTTGGCAATCATGAATAGCACTGCTATGATCATTCATATACAGGGTTTTGTTTGAATACGTGTTTTTAATTCTTTCAGATATATGCCTGGGAGATGGCCATCTTTAACTTTTTGAGGAACCACCAAAGTGTTTTCCACAACACTACACCATTTTACATACCACAAGCAATGTGCAGAAGGTTTCAATTTCTCCACATTCTTACCAACTTTTGTAATTTTCCTTAATTAAAAAAAAACACCAGATTATAGCCCAGGGTGCTTGGGTGGCTCAGTCAGTTAAGCGACTGACTTGATTTTGGCTCAGGTGATGATCTCACAGTTCTTGAGTTCAAGCCCCACATCAGGCTCTGCACTCACAGCACTCTCAAATATAAATAAATGTTCCCCCACTCTCAAATATAAATAAATGTTAAAAAAATATTATAGCCATCCTAGCAGGTATGAAGTGGTATCTCATTGTGGCTTTAATTTGCATTCCCCATATGGCTAATAATGTTGAGCATCTTTCTTTCTTTCTTTCTTTCTTTCTTTCTTTCTTTCTTTCTTTCTTTCTTTCTTTCTTCCTTTCTTTCTTCCTTTCTTTCTTCCTTTCTTCCTTTCTTCCTTTCTTCCTTTCTTCCTTTCTTCCTTTCTTCCCTTCCTTCCTTCCTTCCTTCTTTCTTTCTTTCTTTCTTTCTTTCTTTCTTTCTTTCTTTCTTTCTTTCTTTCTTCATATATATATTTTTTAGAGAGAGGGAGAGAGGTAGAGTGAGAGAAAGAGAGACACTCAAGCAGGATCCAGGCTCAGCATAGAACCTGACATGGGATTTGAGGCCATGACCCTGGGATTAGGACCTGAGCCAAAACCAAGAGTCAGATGCTCAACCAACTAAGGGTGCCCCCGCCTTTGTTATTTTAGGATTTTAGTTATTTATTTAAAATATTGTGTTATCATTATATTGAAAAGTTTTTATTTATTTTTAAGTAATCTCTATCCTTCACGTGAGGCGGAACCTCATGCCTCAGGCATGAAGAGTCGCATACTTTTCTGACGGAACCAGTCAGGTGCCCCAAGATTTTATTATTATTATTATTTAATATTTTTATTTATTTCTAGGAGAGAGAGAGAGAGAGACAGCATGAGCAGGGGAGGGTCAAAGAGAGAGGGAGATACAGACTCCGAAATAGGCTTCAGGCTCCAAGCTGGCAGTCAGCACAGAGCCCGACGCGGGGCTCGAATCCATGAACCGCGAGATCATGACCTAAGCGAAAGTCGGACGCTTAACCGACTAAGCCACCCAGGCGCCCCGATTTTATTATTTTTTAATGTAATCTCTATCCCCCATTATTTCCTTTTTTTAAATTTAAGAATAATTGACATAGAATGTTCTGTTCATTTCAGGTGCACAACTCAGTGATTCAATATGTATATACATATGAAATGATCATCACAATAAGTCTTGTTACCATCTGTCACCATACAAAATTATTATAAGGGCACCTGGCTGATTCAGCTACTGGTGCGTGCGACTCTTGTTCTCCTGTTTGTGAGTTTAAGCTCCAGTTGGGTGTAGGGATTCCTTAAAAATAAAATACTAAAAGAGAACAAAATTGTTACAGTATTATCAGTTATATTCCCTATGCTGTGCATTATACCCCATGTCTTATTTATTTTATAACCGGAAGATTGTACCTCTTAATCTCCTTCATTCATTTTGTCCATCCTCCTCCCCCTCAGGCAACTAACCATTGGTTTATCTGGGGCATCTTTTTCATTTGCTTATTGGCCACTTGTGTATCTTCTTTGAAGAAATATCTAACAGGTCTTTTGCTCATTTTACTTATTTATTTTTTAAAGTTTATTCATTTATTTCTTCAAGAGATTTCAAGTAATCTCTACACCCAATGTGGGGCTCGAACTCAGGACCCTGAGATCAAGAGTCG